GAGCAGAAATGGCGCGGCCATTATCCAATCTCCTTAAAAAGGATGCGGAATGCTGTTGGAACACCGAAAATTAGGAGGCTTTTGACGGGGTCATAGCCAGCATCCCACATGCGCCAATACTGACGCTGCCAGACCCTGATCGTCCTGTCAGCGTCGTATCTGACGCTTCGGACTTTCGTCATCGGCTGTGCACTGGCGAGATCGAGTGATCGCGTTCGAATCTCGACAGCTCAAGGCTGCAAAGAAGAATTACCCAGTTCATGACAAGGAGCTACTTGCGATGAAGTATCCACTTGTCAAGTTCCTGCTCGGCTCCAAGCTGTTTGTGATCTATACAGATCATGCGTCATTATGCGCTGCGACTCAGTCGCCCCATCTCTCACAGAGGATGGCTAGATGGCTATTCTTCTTTGCGGAATATAACTTCGAGGTGACAAATAAGCCGGGAAAGCAAAATGCTTTGGCTGACGCGTTGTCACGCAGAACAGACTATGAGCATGCTCATGATACAACTGTAACGTCGTCTGTGACGGATTTGATCCGCACCGCGTATGCAGGTGATGGGATGTGTGTAGCGCTGCTACGGTCTCTTGGCAGCAAGGAGTTCGGCGACTCGGACAAGAAACTGTCACCAAGACTGCGTGCACGATTGCACCGATATCCGTTGAATAACGGTTTGCTGTACTATAGCACCGATTCATCGGATACACCACGAATGATGTTTCTCATGATGAAGATTTGAAAAACCGCATCTTCTATGAGGCGCACGACACGCCACTCAGTGGTCATCTCAGTCGTGACAAAACGTACAACTCGGTGAGTCACCACTATTGGTGGCCCAAGTTGTACAAATAGACGAGCACCTATGTGCGCACGTGTGAGACGTGTCAACGGGTAAAACCCTCTCGAAATGCGGCTGCACAGCTGACTAGTATACCGGTACCCACTGGGTGCTGGCAGTCCATGAGTTTGAACTTTGTGGTTGGCCTGCCAAAAGATTCGGCGGGCAACACGGGTGTCGTGGTATTTATCGACCGGTTGAGCAAGATGTCTCGTTTGGCGGCGGTGCCAGACACCATTGACGGAGTCGGTACAGCAACGCTGTTCGTGGATCGTGTTTTCCGACAGCACGGACTCCAAGAGTCGATTGTCTCTGATAGATACCCCCGTTTTACGGGAAATTTTTGGTCGACTATCTTTAAGGTGCTCGGCACCAGGTTAGATATGTCGACGGCGGCTCATCCGCACACCGATAGTCAAACCGAAAGGGTGAATCGCGTCATCAATGATGTCCTTCGCAGCGTTAGCGCTGAGACGCCAAGGTGCTGGAGCGCCATGTTGACACTCGTAGAGTTTGCACTGTATATGCTGTGCATGCGTCTACCAGCTACACGCCGTTCTACGAGAACGGGCTGTTTCACCCTCGTGTCCCGCTGACGCCGCCATCCCATGGCTCAGTGCTTGGTGGGAGAGGAATAGCCGAACGGCTAGCTGATGTCAGCGCCCTCGCCATCTGTAAAGAAGTCGATGACTTCCTGCCTACCACCCTGTGTTTTACATGGGCTTGCTCAAGCCGTACCGGGATCCGGTGCAACTGAACGCGGAAGTGTTAACGCCGGGGCGGATTCCACGGGCCCGCGGCCACCCAGAAGCTGAAAGAGCAACTAGTTCTGAGCACGGAGTGCAACAACCTCCATTTCCAATGGAGCCAAGCGCTCCACCGTT